TAACCTAACAGTCATGTTTTTGGTCTTTTATTTTACCCTGTCAGTCAAAATGACGGACAGCAAAAAAGTCTAGTGCAACCTCTGAGTCAGACTATATCTGGTTCTACTGAAAATAATTTGTCTCAATACTTCAGAAAATGTCACAGAAAATAGAGAACACTGAATGGGTGGAAAATTTTGACCTGACAAGAATATAAAGATATCTTTGCATGTCTTACTTTACTGCACTTCTAAAGACTAAAACACCTTAAAAAATGCATTTAATGGCTAAAAAATTGGATTTTGCATGAGATGTCCCCCTTAAAGTCATTAATGTCTGTAAAGCAGGGGTGTCAAACTCATTTTCACCGAGGGCCACATGAGAGTTATGGTGGCCCTCAAAGGGCTACTTGTAATGAACTTTGATGTTTCATGTCTAATTTTGACTAAACAGTTTTAACGCTTCCTCTTTTAAACACTGATAAGAACTAAAGTTTTACTCACTGATGAGTTTCTAGTGAGTAGCTGCATTATGTCAGATTTAGTTTATGTTTGATGGTGACTTTCAGACATTTGTACTGAGCTATCCAACTAAATTGCTCACTTAAAGCCAACAGCTCAGGAACAGGAAATTTTTAAACTATTTTTATTTCATTTATTTTTATTAAATTCATTTTGTTGCATTTAATCATAAATTAAAAATTGACCATTGATAAAAGAAACAAATTTCATGCTAAGTAAAAGTAAATAAAAAATTGGCGGGCCACATGGGAGTCACCCGTGGGCCAAATGTGGCCCGCGGGCCTTGTGTTTGACACAATTTATTTTATCGACTTGTCTTCTGAAGATGCTCTGTGTTGAACTGTTGAGCGCAGCTCCACTGAGAAACTTACAGTTTCAGCAACATTTATTTAAAAAYGGTACGTTTGAGGTTAAACTAATGTTTATAATTAATTTCAATAAATTACAAGTTAAGAAGGGCGTGGACATTTATATCTATTGTATTGAAGAAATTTATAGTTATTATAGATTAGTACTGATCTTAGAAAACAACACCAGAGTATTAGGGTTTCGTTTTTATATTTGTATAACGTTTGATCTATTATGTGTTAATTGAAATAGAGTAGATACATGTCCGAATTATAAACAACACATAAGTGAACCGTCTTAAAACATTAGTTTGAGGTCTTTGTCTGAATGCCGGTGATTCAGTCGTAAGTCAGTAGGGGGCGAACTTAGGCATCGAAGAATCGTGTATAAAAACATGCACTTCCTGTCTTTGAGTCAGTGTGGTTTCGCTTGTCAGTCCGGTGACAAACAAACCTCACTCAGATCCAGAATTCTGGTGTTGTATGACCTTATTCCTTTTACAAACCAATTTATTTAACTATTATGTTTTAATCTGACTTCAGCCGATATTAAACACGTATTTCTTACAGTATCAAAAAAAACTGAACCATGAAACAAAAGTATCGAAACGAATCGTGAGTTTTCTGTACTGATAAAAATGTAAACAGACTGAAACTGAAAAAAGTAAGAACAAAACTCAGCCTAAAGGGTCAAATCTTTATTCATTATCCTACCTGCATYACCAGGACTGCTGTAAGGTTCTAGGCTGAACTTCCAAGAAATGTAATCTCCAGKACCGTCAATCTTTGAGAGTGAAACCTGACACGAGACAAAAACAGTGTTTTCACTCCACATCAGAATGAATTAACTATAACAAAGYTTACAAACACTCAGGCATTAGGATGAATAATAACATTAACTAGAGAATTATAATTTCCTTTTAAAACGAAGTGTGAATGCTTAATGCTGAAAGATTGTTGCTGAATTGCTAAAAAAGCTTAAACTAGCCTAAAATAGCTAAAAAGTGGGTGAAATAGCTGAAACTACAAGTAGCACAAAGAAACAGAAAGAGCACATTTGCTGAATTAAGCAGTACGAAGCTGAAATKATCACAAAAAGTAAAATTAGCTTAAAAAAACAGCTTGTATTAGCAAAAAGTAGCAAAAAAAAAAAAACCCTGACAAAAATGCTTACATAAGCATAAATCAGCTGAAATAAGTACAAAAGGTATGATAGCAGAAAAGGTCAGAAATAAAAAAGCTCAAATCAGCCAAATAGAAGCCAAATGAGGCTAAAATGAATATAAAGGAGTTTAAAAAGGCAGAACAAGAACAAAAGGTGAAAAGTACAGTAAATATTTATGAATATTTTTAAAGGGTTTTAAGGATGTTGAAGACTTTCCATTAACTTTCAATGAAGAAAAAAATGGCAGAAAAAGCTAAATATCTCAAAAAGTTTACCTTGCTGAAGTACTAAAAGTAATRGCTGGAATGTCCTGAAGGAGCTGAATGTTTTGATATCAGAATAATGTAACTGTTTTATTGAGTGAAAAAGTTTTATTTTAAAGGCACTCGCTGCACTATCATAATAAACAGTCAAAAAAGTAATAAACAGAATTTGCCCTATATTTTTCTTATAATAAAGATTCTGGTTTTAAACTTTTAAATATTCAGATTCAAATACATTTTGGAAACTATAGAAAGGACTCGTGCATTAACTCCACTTCATGAATTCTCAGAGGTTAATGTACCCTGAGGAGCGGTTTCCATGTCCTGTCCAGGTGCTTAAAYGTTTCTGGGTCACTGCTCATTTCCACGGGGGTCTTCCCATCCACAGTTTTCTGCCCGAGGCWAACCACGTCTGGCAGTCTGACGTCCCAGAACAATAAGGTGCTTTAGAATAAGAAAAAGACACAAACACATTTTTAAAAATAAACCGTTTACCTTTAAATTTCACATTCAATGATGTAGAACGAAGCAGGCTCGTGGGAGTTACTTCAGCTGCTCTACATTTAGGCTTCTTTACATGTGTAACATCTAAACATCAGCCTGAGGACTTTAGTAAAATAGACAATCTGGATTATTCTACAGGTTCCAGCAAGTGACTGTAGATGAATGTGGAAGGTCAAAGCAGCTTCTGTATTAGCAAACTAAATCTGTAAAATCAATCAAGCACTAATCTCTAGGTAATACAGTATGTGGGTTTTACTGGTTTACTATATTTACAATATATGTTTAATTTTTAAGGGTACGCATTTCAATGTATCAGCAACCAAACATGATAATGTTTGGTTGATGTCCTTTTCAGGGGTGCCACCGAGCCATTGGTTTAGATATGTTGACGACACCTGGGTTAAAAT